AAAAAAAAAAAAAAAAAGTGATATTCCAGCAAATCTCATTAGATAGATGCTTCCTAAGGCAATAACTTTTCAATTATCAGCATAGTTTTTAGAAACGAAATTAATAAATTGTAAGGTTTAGCTGAAGCTTTTTTAATATTGATGTTAATTGTGGTATATATCTGTAAAGAGTTCACTTTTACACTGAGAATAAATGAGCTTAAAAAGCTAGATTTTAGCGAAGAATGAACAGAAATAAAAAACGTTGGTGGGATGTATACGCAACTGATCTGCTCTCTAACTGGTTTTTTAAAAACCGGTTTTTTCAAATGTTTAAATTTTCATAATTTTTGTAGAATTTTTATTTACAAGAATGAAGAATTGATTGAACAATAAAATCGATATGTACCTTGTACTCATTTCCAGGTTTTATTGATTCTAGAAGAATCAGCAAGCATTTTCTTTTAAATACGTGTGTGCTGCGTTCATATCCGGCACTGCATATGACATTTTTACAAAACCTATCTCCGTTGATTTTAAGAAAGATTAACGGCCAGTCGTTGATGCTCTGCTGCTGTTGACATCAACCTCAGAGTGTACTGACAATAGTGCTCTGAAGCCAATTTTGAAGACGAAAAAAATTTAGTCAGTACTGTAATTTTATGGACTGTGCAAAACAGTTTGTTTGCTTTTGATAATAGAAACTATTGATTTACCAAATGCTGTTGTATACGACGGTGAATAAATCTAAAATACTTAGTCGTTACAATTCAGTTGTTGTTTTTTTTTTTTTTCAGTTCAATCGTCAAAATACTTTAATTGTTGCTCTTACTGAACAATTCCCAGGTGTTAAAACTATTGATAAGCTTTAATATATTATAACTTTCAATGCGTCGAGCCTAACGAGATACTGGAAAGAAGCCACAATACCCACCAGTAAAACTATCGTTCATGGCATAATGTGGTAGATGTTTCTGGTGGATGGATCTGGCGTTAACGGCACAGTAACGTATTCAGAAACTTCTGATAGACACAAGTACTATCGACTTCTTTAACCTCTCTATTCCGCAGTCTTTAGCTTTCATTCGTTGATTGCGGCAAAAATTTATGAAAAACTAATAGATATAGAGAAAAATTTTTTTTTAGTTTAAATGAAACTTGTTTAGCTGATGGCTTACTCCAATGCCTTATTTTGGACGGATTCATCGTTCAGTTTCTGGATTTTTGTTGCACAACTGAAATGAGGAGTTTTGTTGCAGAGTATGGCCAGATTATTCACCTTCTTTGCATCAAATTACCAGTGTCTAGACTTAAAAAGTATTCAACAAAACTTCCCATGTTTATTTTATTTTTC